AATTTACTAGAGCAAATTGCTTGATGATTTAACGCCGCGTTTGCAAAGAATCAGATTAAGATTAATGCGATACAATTACAAAATAGTTTACGTGCCAGGTAAGCAACTGGTGTTGGCGGACTGTCTGTCAAGAAGTCCGATTAGTAGAGAATCATATTACAGTGATGAGTTACCGCAAGAAATTGAGGGATATATAAATTTTGTAGTTGATAACTTTCCAACTACACAAAATATGTTAGAGAAAATAAAAGACGAACAAAGAAAAGATTTTATTTGCTCTAAATTAAAGAATTATTGTCTGGAAAAGTGGCCAGATAAAAATAGGTTGGAAGATGGTTTGTTACCGTATTATAGCCTCAAAGAAAATATTTCGTTCTGTAATGATTTATTATTGTATAATGCACGGTTAATAATACCTTCGAGTCTGCAGGTAGAGATATTGTCTAAGATACATTCAGGTCATTTGGGCATAAATAGATGTCGCGAAATGGCGAAACAATCAGTGTGGTGGCCAGGTATTAGTAGCCAATTGAAGACATTGGTAGAAAACTGCCCAAACTGTATAGAGCAAAGAAGAAATATTAAAGAACCGTTCGTAAAAGAAAACTTTCCCGAGAGACCGTGGCAGAAAATTGCGATGGATTTATTTAAGATTCAAAACAAATGGTATTTGATTGTAACGGATTATTATTCACGATATTTTGAAATTTTATCTTTAAAATCATTAACCGAAAAAATGGTCATCAGGAAATGTAAGAAAGTTTTCGCAAGATTTGGAATTCCAGAAATAGTAAGAACTGATCCAGGTACGCAATTTTCGGCCGAATTCAAACAATTTGCTAGAGACTTCGACTTCAAACATATAACAAGTTCACCTAAATATTCACAAAGTAACGGCGAAGTCGAATCAGCAGTAAAAGTTGCTAAAATGATTCTAAAAAAATGTACAGACGTTAGCAAAGGGTTATTATCATATAGATCGACGCCTCTACATTGTGGTTATTCCCCTGCTGAGTTAATGTTTTCAAGGAAAATTCGATCACTTGTGTCTATGTTACCAGCTAAATTAGGGACATTTATAAAACATAAAAAGCTCACAAAATTTGAAAAAGCAAATAAAGACAAGCAGGAGAATAATTACAACAAAAGACATCGCGTAAAGAAATTGTCACAATTAGCAATAGGAGCTAAAGTATGGATTACAGATAAGCAAGTTTATGGAAAAGTAGATGAGATAGATGAGAATCCGAATTCATATATAATTAAAACAGAAAATGGTAGAATACTACGTAGAAATCGATGGCATCTAATATACGCTCCATATAAAGATACAGAAGACTTTGACGCGACAATAGTAGTAGATGACGAGGGACCAGTTTACGTAGAAGAAGAGAGAGAAGTGGCGAATGATGAGAATGATGAGCAGACAGAAGTAGAACAGGTAGAAAACGCGGAACAAAATGTAATCGAAGCGGAACATAATGTAAACGATCAGGGCGAAGCGAATGGTGTAGTTCCAGAGCAGGAACCACCCAGAAACCAGGGATCAAAGCGAGAAATTAAACCGAATACGAAATATAAAGATTTTGTATGGCGCCAAAGTTCTGTAAGAAAAAAAAATAAGTAACTCAATAAAAGGGAAAGGGTGTTGTGTGAACGTGTTCCCAGCGCCATCTATGCGCAAGATATGAGTCAGTAGGGACCGCCGGGGTTAGGCGGGAAGGGCCCGGAATTGCGTGTTGGAACACGGTCGCAAGACACAGAAATATTGTCTACGTGATTATTACGAGTACCAAGGACCTACACGGCACAAGGACGTACACGACGATAACAATACATAATTAATTTTATATTTTTAGTAAAATTAATTTATGTGCTTATATGCGAAATTATCGTGTTACTACTTTAAGAAAATTTCGATACTGATATTTATTTTAACAAATTTAATTGGAAAAATGTGACCGGGGTAACAAATGATCCTAGGTTGATGATTACTCTCTTGTTTTGACAACTATTTTTGACACCAAAGACAAATTTAATTTATATTATTAATCTAAGTATATCGATCAAAAATGCTCACTTAAAAGAAAGCAATATGTACATGTAACAAATAAAAATTACAAGATATGTTTAAAAATGTTTATTATATAGAAAAATTAAAATGCTCATGCGTAAAAAATAAAATTATCAAATATGTACTTATACATTAATACGTTAATTTGTATAGATCTGTGTGATACAATTACATCTAAGTAATACGCAATACGTTTTTAGTACGTTTTTTTTTTAGAAAATATTCTTGTAATAAAAGAATTGACGTAATTACGGCTTTATTTACGTAACTTTGATGAACAAATTGTCTTTGCATTACAATTAATCATGTGACAATTCACCTATTTCAAATAGTTAAATGCACACTTCTCCTAAATTACATAGGCCCACTTTCAGTTACAGAAACAATAAACATAAAACTCTCGATTTCTTTATGGTGCGCTCAAATATTGTATATATTACTTACATATATGTGCATCATAGATTTTTTTATTGTTATTTTTAATTTATTTTTAATACGATATACTTTTAATACAATAATACGTATAAGTATCTTATTTAGTTATTCGCAGCTCACTATATTTTTATGCAGTTATAATGTATTCTCGTGTATATCAGAAGTGTTAGGTTCTCTTGAAAAGCTTTCAATTATACGTTGTTAACAAATACATTGTTCTGCTCAAAGTGCGGTTGGACGAAAATTTGCAAGCTGTAACAAAATGCAAAGTATTATCAAATTGACAAAAAATTGATTAACTTTTTCTTTTATTCATTTAATTATAAAAGTCATATGACAAACATAGCAAAAGAATTTTTTATTAATGTAATATAAGTATGCACACTGTACAAAAAATTCAGTAAATTTACACAAAGGAAAGAAAATTACATAATGAATAATGGAAATTCTCGGCTTAGCCACTCGCGCCCTGATATTTTTTCTCTCTCTTCCTTTCTTTCCAATAATCCCTATATGTACATTAAGTTTCTCGATATATGAGAACAATGTACTTAAAATTTTGTACACTTTAGGTATCTCGATCTGAGATCGGTGTACAATTTAACTGTCTCTTGTGGACTAATTTATTAATTTTTTTAAGAAAAATTAAAAATTTAGCACTAACATCCTGCGACGGCTCTTAATGCTCTTCTATTATATTTCTTGATTGTTATCATATGAAGCCTTACTATTGTATGTGTTTTTAAATAATGGAAATATATAAAGTAAATAGTATAAGATTTATAAAATTATGTACATTTGCAATATACATATATCCAGTAAACACAAGCTAACAGTAACATAACGTCATTGTTATAATTTCCCACTCAACAATGTAACTGCAATATAACATACCTTGTACGTAACAATTATATTGTTAAGTGGGAAATAATAACATTAATGTTGTGTTACTGTTACTTTGTGTTTACTGGGTATGTATTTAGTAAATTTTTGATATTTATCAGGAAATTTTTGCATCTAATATTTAATTTTATCGATTTTTTTGTAGTATAGAATGCCGTTTAATATAGAACATAGTATAGAATTTCAATTATAGTCTTACTTTATTATAACTGCATAGTTCGGTATTAATCATACTCTTACTCATAATTATCCATCTTCATGATATTTCTGTTCTTTCTTATTTTTGAACATTACGCAAGCACGTGGATTAGTTCTCTGCAAAAAAATCCTATTTGCATTAAGTCGAGCCATGTTATGAGTGATATCGTCGAATAGACGTTTATTGCTAGCATGCCCAAGTAGATGCTGCACGATAAAGAACGCATCTTTTTACGGAAGAGCACGATGGCGGACAAACAGTTTCCTAAAAGACCCAGAATAATAAAAATCGGCAGAATGTATTTTCTGAAATTTGAAAAGATCTCATATTTATTTACATATGCATTGTATATCGCAGAAAAAAAATTAAATTTATTTATGATGTCAGTGACGGGAAAATGTCCCCCTACTATATCTTTGTCACATAAATCTTTGAATTTTTTAATTCTACTTGCATTTACAAGTAAACGATTCATCACGGTCTTCCGTCTTCTGTCGATATAAACGTGGGTAACATATTCAGCCAAGCTACGTAAACTTTCGCCAAGATCTCTTTTGTTGTTACAAACACGCAATCGTAGTTTGTGTTTAGATATACTGGAATAATCTTTACCGAGATTTTTTTCAGAAAACATCCTTGCGTATGGATTTATTGCAACAGTTACTTATGAGATGAAAAGCAAAAAGCGATATAATCAAGTTGCGTCACGCGTCTGAAAAGCGTTATAACGTAATTATTAATATTATGTATTGATATCTTTTATATAAATTTTATTTATCGATATATGTATTGAAATAATTGTTTTTAAAAATTAAAAAAATAAAATATACAAAATATATAAAATATATACTGTATTTTAAACATTTAAAGAGTAAAATGTCTTATGCACTATCTCACTTACCTGAGAGTCGTTAAAAATTCTGAAGTCTACGAATGCAGGGGTTACAAACTCTCAGCAATTCCCCGATTTTAATCGTTCAACTGCTAGACACTAACGATTGCAAAAGACTGAATGTTGAGACGACTGACTTGGATGATAATATTATTTCTTCCTGGAAGTTTATGGTTTACCAAAATAATTAATATTTTGACTACAATGTTGCCCATATCCGTTGACGTGTGAGTTTCCGCAGGAGTCTGTCGCTCTACCAAAGTCTTTATAATGATAGAAAAAGAAGCACTAAATATTACTAAAATAATAGATAAAATTTATTAAAAACAGTATTTTTTATTTTTTTATATAAGATATTATTGTTACGTCCTGATCAGACTACACGATTCTTTTCCCACTTCACAAGCGATCTGAAACTACTCACCACTTAAATCGGAACAACTATCTTTCTCTCACCGTAACGAGTAAGTCGGTTCATTCCTTTTTTATTTTATTATTTTTGTACAAGGCTAAGTGTGGTAGCGCTTCTCTTATCAATTTATAGAAGCCTAAATACAGTTGCGCTTCTCTTCTGTAGGGACTGAACTACATCAATCTCGCTTTTAATAAAACTGCAGCAGTAGCCTAAATACGGTAGCGCTACTCTACTGTGCTGAGTGCGAGAACAAATAAAGACTAAAGACTCAAACTTTATAGAATATACAATTTTAATCTTTCGTAGTGTCAGGATCTTTTTCTCGACTACTTGACTTCGTCGGGATCCGGTTTATATACCTTTACATCAAAGATACCGCTAAATTTTATCATAATCGTTATCCGCCGATAGCTAACATAATATCCTTTATAATATGAGATAACTCACTCGACAATTGCATTTCCTTTCGAGGAATAGTAATCGCAGGTCTAAGGTTTAACTAGGTCAGTAGGCACTAGGCCAGCGTATGATATTTCACCGCATGATCAAAGCCGCTGCCGCCGCATAATAAAAGCGCTAATTCTAAGAAACAAATTTTAAATCAAGTATAATACTACATTTTCTTTGTCCTCTCTCCTAAAGAATAAAAGATACACACACACTATTGTAAATATACACGAATATAAATATATATATTGTTACGTCCTAACCTGGAGGGAAAGGGGTAGGGTCAGGCATACGGGCGGACGCAACCATAAAAGTATTTATGGTGTTTGCTCGGTGGTCGGTATGAGGAGAGGCGACCGCGCAAGCCGAACGATTTTCTTTGGCTGAGAACAGGTCAACGATCGTAAAGATCGATATTATCCTGTTAGAGGCCTCAACCAATCGTTCGTGGTTCCGTTTTCTGGTCAAGAGACTTAAGAAGGTCCTTTTACCAAGGATGGAACCTCGTGTAATTTTCAAAGGGAAGGGGGGGGGTAGAAGAGGAAGGCGCGAGAGGTCTTACAACTAATAATTATTTAATTATGAAGGTTTTGACTTACTACTTGGATGTCCTGGAAATATATCTGGATCTTTTTGGATCGTTCAGTGGTCCGTATTCACACCGATGTATAACGAATATTCCTCGGAGGTTGGTTTAAAATGTGGAGAAGCAATTGCCGCGCGCGGTACTTTACTCCTCCGCGACGAATTTTGGATTTAGGGATAAGAAAGGATATTTATGTTAGTCCAGAAATTCCAGGCGTAAAGCGTGCGGTGGGCCGCACCACGATACGCGGGGATACAGAAATCGATACCACGTGCGGTGGTCCGCACCGAAAATATCGATACTGAGTGCTGATCTGAAGAAACAATTAGGAATGAGGCGGGGTAGGTTGAATGTGTGAGAAATGGTTTTAATCAAAATATTGTTTAACAAACACGTTTACTATAATTATTGATATACAAGCACTTTGAGATACAATCGGTTTTTTCTAATATATTAAGGTATGAACTAAGATTCGATAATAATTGAGCTGGATTCAGAGATGTTGAGAGAACTATATTAACTGCCTGCTTCACGGCTGGGTGTCTTCCTTTTATACTCGAAATTTTGGGTTTTGGAAGGGAGACATTCCTTCCGAGGGGTTGTTAATAAAAATAAGATAAAAAGGTTGTTTGAAGATTAATAGATGGATTGCTCGAATGACATGTTTATCGTTCCG